GGGCAACGATGACTAAGGAGGGGGGGGGGCTCAGTGCCCAGGAGAAGCGAAGCATTAGCTGTGGGAGGAGACGTCGGAGGAGCTGCTGCTGTTGCTGTTGGTCGTCTGAGCTCGTTTGATGTAGAGATTCAGGAGCTTCATCTGGAAAAAAAAAAGAAAAAACATTTTTACAAACAGTTTTACAGTAAAAGGACAGAAATGTGACCTTTTTTTTCCTTTTCTGTTATTGAAGAGAACAACTTCAGCTGGTGATGGGATTTAAACACAGTTTGACTGGAGATCATTTGGTTAAAAATACAAACAATTGTGTGTGAACAAAAAAAAAAAAAAAAATTGTGATAAAACGGTTCCGTAAACACACTTACAAACACAGACTTCTGGTTTAGGGACACGTAGTAAAACCCAGAGATAACGTGACCTGAGCTCCGATGTCGTAAAGCCGGTTAGAACCAGCCGACAAACGACAACACAAAGTCGATAAGACTGTGGATCTGTGGAATCTGTTACACACAGACTGAGCGGTGTGTGTGTGTGTGTGTGTGTGTGTGTGTGTGTGTGTGTGTGTACCTTGCTGCCAGTGAGTTGTGCCAGGTGAGGTTTGAGGTCCTCTCCAATCACAGAGTAGATTGCCACCAAACAGAACACGCTGGCCTTACGAACGCTGCTCTCTGTGTTGTCATAGCCCTGCACACACACACACACACACACACCCACACAGAGGTCAGAGGGCACAGTGGAAGATTAGCAGAGAGGGCAGAGAGTGTAGGCTAACATTTCTCTGAAGAATCTGAACTCCTGTTCTGTTTCCTGTAACTCCTCACAGGTTAGTGCTCTTTTTTTTTTTTTTTTTTTTTGAACCCAGACTGGAGTCAGACCAGCAGGAGTCCAGGGATGATGTCCGGCAGCAGCTGCACCAGGGAGTCCTTGGTGATGCGTTCAATGACCTTGGTCTGCATTTTGATGGCTGCCAGGTTGATGGGGTAGTCGGCCGTCTGGACGATGGGGCAAAGAACCTTGATGCACTGCTCTGGGTGGATGGAGCCCGCCAGGGTGGAGGCTGCTTCTTCAGCCGCGCGCACCACCTGACGACACAGTCCGTGTTTATATGAACATATTTAAGGCCGGTCCTACTGGAGGTACCAGGTGAACTGGGACCATGTGACTGTACCTCCTTGTGAGAGTCTTTGTGAGCCTCCAGAGTCTTCATGATGGTCAGCTCAGCGTAGTTCTTGAAGCGGGCCGGCTGGTTCCTCAGGATCTCCTTAAGGACCCTCAGCGCCAGGGCTCTGATGGTGTGCTGAAAGACGGAGACGTCGTTAAGACATGGTGACCTTTGACCTGGGTATTTCCACACACTCCACCTACGTCTTTGTCACTGAGCGTCTCCAGCAGCAGCAGCAGGATGGTCTTGAAGTGCTCGTCCCACACAGCCAGGTTATCTTCACGTGTGATTTTCAGAAGCTCCACCAGGGCGCCCTTACGCTCCTCACAGCGCTCGTTATGATTGGACAATTCCTTAAGCAAGTCGGCCACAAGGTCCGAGTGGTCCTGACCGACTGTTGACCGAGAGACAGAGACAGATATGTTTTACAAAATACTCAGTATTCAATTCTGAGTACTGTATCAAAGTAGTAGTATATTTTAGTAGTATTTAGTAGTAGTATAATAGTAGTATAGTTTAGTAGTAATATAATGCAGTATTAGTATAGTACAATAGTAGTACATTGACCTGTCGAGACACGATAAAGAAACAAAGGTTTCTCCTGCAGTAAAATCTCTGCTCAGGTCAGGTTGGATGGAGTGTAGTACTGTCAGCAGGTAGTACTGCAGTACGGCTGTAGTGCAGTACTGTCAGCAGGTAGTACTGCAGTAACAGTACTCATGCGTTTAGTTTGAGCTAAAACTACATCCATCAACCATCGACTCAGTCGTTAGAAAAAAACAGACAGAAGTGAATTAAAGGAGGAGGAGGAGGAGGAGGAGGAGTGAGGCGTGCACTCACAGTCAGTTAGTGAAAAGTACTGTCATGAAGTACTACTACAGTGAGTCACAGTACAACGGGCTCAGGAGAGAACTTTACCAGGAGCCAAGAGTTTGGAGAGCGTCATCTTGTTTTCACCGCTGTCCTGACGTCGGCCTGGAGCGGGAGGTGAGGGGGTGAGGAGGTGGAGGGGTGGGTGAGGATGAGAGGAGGCGGGACACATTTAAGAGACAGGGCGGGGGCAGAGAATGTGATGACAACAGGCGACCGGAGTCGAACCTCACACATGGTAAAATATATGACGTCTACAGTGACTCTGCTGCTGCTGACCTTTGACCTCTACACTGCGACATTCGTCTGTGGTCTTATCTATCCGGCCTTGGCGTCTGGAGCAGAAGGAAGTGTGCGACATTCGTCTGTTGTCTTATCTATCCAGCCTTGGCGTCTGGAGCAGAAGGAAGTGAATTTGACATCTATTGTACTGTGTTGTCACAAATAATAAATATATAAATAAATATATAAATACATTTTCTTCTTACTGACTCTATCTGATCCTGACAGGAAGTCTGTCACAGACTGAGAACTGCAGTACTGCAATATAGTAGGGCTGGGTGATACGGTACAAAAGTCATATATTTCCCATATATATCAATATATCATATATTTTATATATTACTCCTGCCTGTTGTTATAGTAACAACAGGCAGCAGAACCACAAAATCTAAATCACACTGGGATTTTACTTCAAAATATGACGAGGACAAGTATTTTTTTATGATGAATCAGCAAATATTAAATAAGGATTTATGAATACTAATATATTGATATATTTTAAAAACATCAATATATCTCCCTGCCCAAACATAAGGTTTGAAACTACTTCCTGGAGGTGGGCTTTGGTCATGTGACGTGATGGTAGGTATGAGGCTGACAGAAGATGGAGTGAAGGTGCGACTGCTCTGACCACGGTCTAATGAGAACCCCGTCGTCGTCATGGAGACCAACGGTCACCATGACAACCCCGTGTTTGACACCTGTGAGGTTCTGTTGGGACTCACAGTCACGGAACTGCTCCACGTCGTCGTCGAAGACCGCCTCCTTCAGCGCGCTCTTGTCATACGTACAGATGGTTTCCGCGTAGCTGAACGGAGCAAACTCGCGGCCACGGGGCCCAGAGAAAGAGCGCGGTGACGGCGTGTTGAGAAGAGACGTTTTGTTGTCCAACGCGGTGCGACCTCCTTCCACCATGTCCAGGCCCAGTCGAGGGTCTGAGCCAGGAGACGAGGACACTCCTTCTCTGACGGCCTGAGGGACAGAGGAGAGAACATCGGTGACGGCTCCTCTTCTGTCAGTGTCAGGGTACGGCAGCAGCCTGTCACCGTCACTCACAGCGTCGTCCCTCTTGCCGTCTCGTCTGATTGGCTCGTTGAGGTCCTCCTGGCTGCGGTGGCTGAAACTCTGGATGGCCTCAGTGACCCCGCGGAGGGAGCTGTAGATCTCCTCAGAGTTCATGTTCTCCGTGTCGTACTCCATCATGCTGCCACACACACACAACCAAACGATGACAGTTTAAAAAAAACCAACAACAAACGGCAGCAGGATGTTAGCACACAAACCAAACGACAACAGTTTAAAAAAATCCAACAACAAACGGCAGCAGGATGTTAGTCAGTACCAGGGCTCACATGCTCCCCCTGCAGTAAAGTGGTACTACGACATGCTACGCTGTACTGCAGTGCTGTGACAGTCACAGAGGTACCCAAAGATGGTGGTCCACAGACCAGTTGGATGTTCAATTATGTAAAGGTCACAAAGGTCAGGATAAGACTTTTATTTTGAAGGCTGCTTCTCTCTGACCTTTTCACCTTTGACACCAACATTTAAACCAAATCTTGATTTGTCACCGAAAACCAACAGATACAGATTATATGTTGTTTATAATTTTAGTACCTAGTCCGGTACCAAATGATTCATGGACTGGTTCTGGTCCGGGACCCAGTGGTTGGGGACCTCCTTAACGGAAACAATGGCAGCCATGCTTGTAGTTGGGAACGTGGGTGTAGGAGAACGTTCTGTTCAGACAGTGCTGTGAACGTTTGTTCCCTGAGACTGTGGAACCGATTTATTGGGTTCTACAGAACTTCATCCACTGGAACTTTTTTACAGATCTACACACTACAGTAAAAGTTAGTCCAGACTTCACCGTTACCTGATTCATAATGAGCAGAAATCTAACTGTGCAAAAGTCTTAGGCAGGCGTCCACTTTGACAACACTTCCTCTTCTTTAACAGACGTTTATATTTTTAGCAGAGGCTCTTTCTCTGTCACAGGATTTAATACATGAAAAACATTCTTTTGGTTCTTTACAGTCCGCACAAAACGTACATATATGGTTCTTTACAGTCCGTTCTTTACAGTCCGCACAAAACGTACACGCCTGCCTAAGACTTTTGCCGCTCTGACCTAAAGCCTCATGTCTTGATTTCTAAAGTTCTGCCCGGCCCACAGCATTACCTGGGCGAGTACGCTCTGCGCAGGACCCTCAAGGAGGGGGCAGCAGAGGAGGAGTGAGGTGGAGGAGGAGGAGGAGGAGAAGGGGCAGGTGGGTGCTTTGTCAGTCCGTCCACACCCCATCCCCATAACCGACTGTTGTGACAGCACGGCCAACAGGGACGGATGAACAGACAAGAGAGGAGAAGAGGAGGCAAGGTGGAAGAAAAACAAGGGGAGGAGACCACACGACAGGAGGAGGACAGAAGAAGGAGGAGAAACAGAAAAATAGATTTGAACCAGGACAAAAAAAGGAGAAAGGAGTTCTTCTGTTCTGTCTCTTCTGTTTTGTTTTTTTCCCGAGAGCAGCTCCCTCTATCAGGTACTTACTGCGTCAGTACTACAGTACGTGATGTGTACTGTGCAGTAGTTTGAGGTCAAATACTACTGTGTACTTCTTTGTACGAATATGTGACACTTCTGTATATTGTATATTCACAAAAACTCAGGCTTGATTCCCATGAGCGGAGCAGCAGGAAAACAGAAGGAACCAGGCAGAGAACCAGGCAGAAAACCAGGCAGAAAACCAGGTTAGTCAAGAAAAATCAAGTCAAACAGTACGGACTACAGTCGTATGGGCTGTACCTGGGAGACAAGCCGCCATGAGAGCAGTTGGTGGGCGAGGTGAGGGGGCTGGTTCTGCTGGGGGTGTGACGCTGCGGTGTCCGTCCAATGGTGTTGCTGGGTGAGCCCTGAAAAAGAAAACGGTGAGAGTCAGGAGTACAGGTCATGAGGTACAGTACCTGTCTCTACCTGGACGACACAGTACTGGACCAGAGTCAGTAACCAATGAAAATCAACCTAAAGACGTCCTGCAGTTCCTCCAACTCACCACACTGCTGCTGGTGTTGCTGCTGTTCTTCAGGTGGTTGTGTAGCAGCTTGGTGGCGCCGTCCTGGAAGGTTTTGGGCAAGGCCCCCAACAGCATGGTGAACTCTGGAGTGTTGAGCTCGAACAGGGAGATCAACACCACCTGAGCGGCCTGAGGACACGTAGATCTGGTCAGTTAGTCTGGACGGGTGAGACGCGACTCACCACAACACAATTGTACTGAACACAGACACTGGCTGCTGCATAACTTCGGTTTGATGAACTGGGTCCACAAAGTCTGTGGATATATATATATATATATATATATAACTAGGGATGTCTGATAAAATCAGTCAACTAATATAGCATAATTGTGTATTATCTGTAAGAATCATTATCAGTTATAAACCCCATAACACACTGCTTGTTGTTTTGCCAAATAAATAGTTCCCCAAAATGTTGGGCAAAAACAGCTGTATATGAAGCTGAAAGCCACTAGATGGCAGCATTGCACATCATTTTTATTCATCTATTTTAATAATCAGTGGATTGTATCCAGAATGCTGGAGCCAGAAACTTGAAAAATTAACTGTTTGGACAATCCTGGGATGTCGGATATCGGCAAAAAGTTAATGTTAAAGTTAATTCTATACAACTAAAACTCAACAAACTAAAACTCAAACCTAGTCCTACTGTAAATGTAAACAACAGAATGACACACAGATATATATATATATAAAAAGAACAAAAGCAGAAACTTTGAACATAAATGCAGTGAAATGAAAACCTGAGGAACATGCACTTGGTCAGGGCGTTAGAGTGACACAAACACACACACACACACACACGTTAGACGCGCAGTAGGTGGAACTAATGTTAGTCTGCTATAGAGTTCCATTAATACAGAGCAGCCAGACTGTTGGGGAAAAATATTATTTCACATCAGGCTTGGTGTTCAGGCAGACAGAGCGAGTAACAAGGCACCGACTCTGCAGGAACACACACGACGGAAGAATAAATCAGTGGCAGAAAGTGGTGAAGCAGGCTGCGGTGTTTGTGCTGCGGAGGCCGTCTGTGGTCACGTGATCTACCTGCTTACACCTCTCTTCCTGGTTACCTTCACTGGACAGTGAGCCTGCTGAGCTGGACCTGCCACTGAGTTCCTCGCTCACCCAGCTATGAAAGGTCTGGGGCACAGTGTCAGGGCAGAATGCGGTGTTAGGGCGACGCCAAGTGGAAAGAATATGTCACTGCAGCAAACACTGCAGTTTGATTTTTTTTTTCTTTCCCCCAACACATAATTTACACTTCTATAATTATAACACGTGATGGCATGTTACCACGTGACCCACTATTAAAAAAACATGTAGTTTAACTGAACACTACTATATGAAAATGTCTTATTGAACATTCAAACATAAACAGGACACTTTCTGTGAATATTTTCTGAAACATGTATATGATTATACTGTGAGATGGTCTCAGAGTGATGACATCACTGATGTGTACTTCAGGTCCCACTGTTGTGATATAAGACTTTTAGACTCCACTGCAGACGCGGTGGTTTTAAGTAGGGATGTCCGATAATATCGACCGACCAATATTATCGGCCAGATATTAGCATAATTATGTAATATCTGTAAGAATCGTTATCAGTTTTTCTTCCGATAATGAAAACCTGATAACGCAATGCCTGGGTTTCACCAAATGACGTGTGCCGCTATATCGGTATGGTATGATATCGGAATTGGAAATTAAGTGTTTGGTATGGTATGATCAGAATTGGAAATTAAGTGTTTGGACAATATCGACAAATTTATATCAGACATCCCTAGTTTTAACAGCAATATTTAAAAGACACGGCTACACGTTCTAGAGAGTTCTTCTGAGGATCTCATTAGAGTTCCGTCCTACCTTCCTGACGTCGGAGCTCTTGGGTTCCGTGGTCCAGGTAATGATGCGAGACACGGCCAGACGAGTCTCACTGGAGTTGACAAAGTCTGTGGGGTCCATATGTCTCGCCAGGGATTCAATGTACTTCAAAATGGCCACCTTGACCTGAAAGGATTAAACATCAGAGTCAACAACAGCCCTGACCACAGTGACCAAATGTCACTTTAATAATAATAATAATAATAACAATAAAAAGGTTTTACCTTCAGGTTTGGAGTCTGGGTCTGATCAACGATGAACCTCATTAAAATGTTGAACTGCTGGTCGAAAGGAAAAGACTCCCTGACACACACACACACACACACACGGTTATTGTCAATCTCTTGAATCCTTTTTAATAAGGTTTTTTTTTAAATACGATCTCACGGAATTTTCGCTATATTGCAAGATATAGCAAAAAATAAACAAAAAGACATTATAAAATAATGGCCTTTAAAAATGTGGAAGTGCATTTGCGAAAAATCGCAGCATACTATTGGCTAATACAGACCTGGTGACATCCAGCGCCTTCTGGACCTTGGCCTGGACGGAGCCCAGCAGATCCGCTCCCATCTTCTTCAGCAGCTGTGTGAGCAGCACGAAGAGCCAGTCCTGGAGGTCCTCTCTGTGGACGGTGATGAAGTCCACCAGGGTCTCCAGGAACATGCTGAACACCTGACAGAACCGCAGCCCAGGAGGTACTTTAACATCACATACAGAACTGTTTCTGAAGCTGGAAGTGTGTGTGTGCGTGTGTGTGTGTCACTTACTCTCTGTTGTTGTTGTTGTTAGAGCCACAGCAGCACACCATGCAACAGAAGACAGTGTCAGTGTTAGTGTCGGCTCAGTTCTGCTCAGACCTGAGATCTTTCCTCACTCTTATCTCCATGTACTGACTCTCCATGTAAAACACCTGGTACTACCACTGGTCCTTTCTGTGATGAGTACTAAAACTAATGGTCACCTTGCTGTGAGGGTCGGCGAACATCCTGGTGAAGATCTCACACAGTCTCTTCAGCTCCACCCGACTGTTGGTCAGTAAAACACAAACAAACAAAGCAGTTAGGACACGTGACAAACCTCCTCATCGTTAACATACGTTTGACTCCGACTGAAACCTCGCTTCACGTTCTTCTACACTCTACTTCACTTCCTCTCTTTGGCCATTAGGGGCAGTAGTGGCTTAGTGGTTAAAATCGCAGACTTGCTCCCTGGGCGCTCAGCTCAAAAGTGCACTAACAGTCTGTGACCAGAGAGGTCACTAGGCTGGGTGAGGACCCTGAGGTCGTCTGACCCAGGTCGTGATGTTCTGAACAATCAGAGCTCAGTTCAGGTGAAACCTGCAGAACTGTGAGGTGCTCAGAACATACACCCTGGTGGTCCCCCCCCCGGGTCAGAACATACACCCTGGTTCCCCCCACCCCCCGTCAGACGGTCTGAAAAGCTCTTGCCCGCCTAAGTATCCTCTGGCTCTTCAGGAGGTTCTGCAGACCCAGCAGGCCCTCCTTCCTCTCTGACCAGTTGGAGCTGGCGCAGTGGTTGAGGACTTCAGCGACGTCCTCGGTTTGGCGCAGGTAATGTGGAATGCCGCCGTTCCGTGAGCTGTACGAGCTCTCGGAGCAGGCGCTGGACGCGTCGCTGTTGGCGTCGTCGTCAGAGTACATCCCTGGGGATTCGTACCGACGCCGCAGAGGCTTTCTCTGCAGAGGACAACAGGACAGGATTTATAAAGTTTTGTCCGGGAGTCAAATGTATCCCTGAGGTGGAGGTGTGATGATGTCACAGCGAGTATCACGGGGCGTCAGAGGGCGACTCAGGGTGAGAGCGGCCAAACGAAGCCATGCCTTTGGCTGATTAGGTGAATATTACTTTTGAGAGTACAGTCAGCAACAAAACACAAGCACAAATACAGAGTACTTCCATCATACACATACTGTACTGTACTGCAAAGATCAAAGATTAAAATACACACAAAAAAACTTGAAGTTAAAAAAAATCAAATATAAAAAGA